GAAAAAAATTCCTTTACTAACTATTCCTTCTGACCCAAACTGAATATTTCAAGGAACAACATTACATCCTGCTGGAGGTGCTGGCACTTCAGATCCTCCCTTCATGGGTTAGTATTTCCAAAGCTGTTGAACGCTGGTCATTTGGAAAGAGACGCTATAATTCAAGCCATAAAGCTCACTGAGGCTTAAGAAACTCTCATCATGTTTCAATGTGGATTTCAAGTAGGAGGAAAGGGGAAGCGCATTTATCCGAAAGCATGACTTCTATGTGGTCTGCAACAGTCCATCCATCCTACAACGAGGAGGGACTGACGGGCTCCCCTGGACACAGAAATGTGAAGTTGCAGACGCCCCCCCTTGGCAAGCCCATGAAGGCTGAGGCTGCAGCCATCCTCGCACCACCCTCTCCAGAGGGCTCGGATCTGGGCACGGAGCAGGTTCACAACCTGGGCTGGCTCCCCCTGCTCCCTCATGGCGACATGGGACCTCCCTGTGGACCCCAACTCCCCATCTGTAAAAGCTACCTCCGCAAGGCTGCTCAAAATCCTATACCCTAGGCCCAGTCTAGTACCTGACTGACTTCTGGACAGAAATCTGTCTGCTTTCCCTTCCACACCTCAATTTTTTTTTTTAAGATTTATTTATTTATACAAGCACTGGGGTACAGGCCAGAGGTGCGGGGAGGTGGGTGAGAGAATTTACCAGAGACAGAGCAGGGAGCAGAACAGGCAGAAGGACCAAAGTACACTGCTGAGGGGAGCAGCGGGCGAGGCAGGAGAGGTCTGCTGCACCATGTGGGAATCTCCCTGGCAGGCTGGGAATCAAACCGGTGCTGCAGAGGCTGTGGACAGCTTCACAGCGATGCGCTCAACCCACTGCGCCACCGGGGAGGGCCTGTGTGTCTCAATTTGACAGCATTTTCCAAACTTCTCCCAAGCCGCCTCCCAGGTACAGACTCCCTGGTCACAGAATCACTCCTTCCCAGAGCGTCACTGGCCTATGTGGTCTGTTCTTCTGTTCTCCCAGGAGGGGGAGGTCAGGAAACACGGCCTACTTGGGAAGAACAAGATAGAGCCTGAACTGAGGTCTGTACCCCACCACCCCAGCCACTGAGACCTCCGGCCCTTGGAGAACCATTCACCAGGGCTTCCTCATGGGCACATGACCTGGAAGCTGGCACAGAACCCCGAGTGCAAAAGGCTCCTATACTTGGTTTCACCTTTGCAACCTTGACAATCTTGATTTTGAACAGAGACCTGCATGTTCGTTCTGCACTGGGCACCACAAACCATGTAGACTGAGAATAAAGGCCACCTCTTCTGGGGAGATATCATTAGCTCCTCTGAGGGGCTCCCCTAACCCCAACTCTTAATGAACCCCCACTGCAAGGCCTTCCCTGAGCACACTGAATCCCACGTACCACCCTGAGTTCTTCCCATACAAGAGTTACATTTACAGCAACTTTCTTAGGGAGGCACTATTATTATCCCCAGCTTACTGACAGGATAAGGGTCTGCCCACACAGCAGGGAGGAGGTGGAAGCAAGACTTGGAACCCAGGCAGGGCAAACTCAGAGCCAGGAAAGCAGTGGCTGTGAAAAGGGACACTGGCAATAAGGACCCTCGTGTTCACACCATTATAGGGCAAAGTCCGGTCACCTTTTTAAATTGTCTATTCAGAGCCTCCCTGGTGGCGCAAGGGGTTAAGTCTCAGCACTAGGAAGCAATCGACAGCCACTGCAGCAGGAGTTTGATTCCCAGCTAGGGAGCTACCCACATGGTGCAGCAGACCTCTCCTGTCTTGCCCGCTGCTCCCTCAGCAGTGTATTTCAGTAGATCTGCCTGTTTTGCTCCCCACTCTGTCTCTGGTGAATCCTCTCACCCCCCACATGCCTCTAGCCTACACCCCAACTCTTATATGCATAAATAAATCTAAAAAAAAAATGTCTCTATTCACACACAGAGATATCTTGCTGGACTGTGAAGTCCCTGAAGCCCTAGTCCCTCATGTTTATCCTGTAATACAGAAACCTATCACAGACCAGGACATGACCGTCTCAAATACACTCAAAACAATGAACAGAGGGTCATTTTTGTGTGGCTCATTTCATTATAAAATACAACATGTACTTATTAAACCCTGAAAATTTTGTGAAAAATTAATCCAACTGGTATATTGTCTTAGATAAACCTTGAATGAAATAAAATGATCTAAAATGTTGGAAACAGCAATTTAATAAAAAGGGAAACCTGTCATCCACTTTTCTTCCCAGGAGTGAGTTCCTCATTATTAGGGCTTTTAATTCAATTGTTTAAAATTCAATTCTTTTTTTCCCAAGGTTTGCCATTTTTTTTCATTGTGATTAACAGAAGCCTCTGAGCCCTAGGTAGCTCCCAACAGGACCCGCTATCACTGGCATCCTTGAATTAACTCCTACTAAAAACACGTATCGTGAAGCTAATTCTGAGACCTCAGACACAACTGAGGGACAAAGCTAAAACTGGCCTAGGCTTCTCAAAAATGTCAATGTCACTGGAAGACACAGAAAACCCAGGGGCCGTGCTAGGGGAGCAGAGGCCCTGGGCAAAGGACAGCCAAGTGCAGGCGTCCACTGGACGATGTCTGGGCCAGGGACAGAAAGGTCACACTAGGACTTTAGAGATAAGTGTTCAAGTCTGGGTCAGGACGTGGTTTAGATTACAAGTAATGCACTGTTGCACATTGCTGAACTCCTGCTGTGGATCAGGGCGGGGTCATGTTAGGAGAAATGTCCTACCAGGACTTAAAGGTGAATGAGGTTACTGAGGAGTAGCAGGAAAGCTCAGAACTAAATCCCGTTTCGTGGTTAAGAGAGAATATTAAAAAGCAAGCTTGGCAAAGCACTGACACTTGAGGAATCTGAGTGAGAGAGACAGAGGAGGTTTCCACTGATTCTGTAACTGTTTGCTAATTAGAAATTATTATCAAACTTTTAAAAACTGTATTCATACAAGTACTGACACGATTAATCAGGAAATGATGCTGAATGTAGCCAAATATCATGCCTGGGAATCAACTGATGTCTTGCGTTCTGAGCATTTTTTTAACTCCAGAAATAGTGTTGGATGTACATTAAGATTTCATTCATTCCTGCGTGAATGAATATTTGTCTCATTTTGATTTTGAACTTAATAAAGAAAGATCCTGGGGAAAAGATTCACTCTAGAATAGTCTTATGTCATTAATTAGTAAGGTCCAAAAAAACCTTTTTTTTTCCCTTCCTTCTCACTGAAATCTCCCACTTTGGGCTTGTTCCTCGGGCCCTGCCTCCCAGAAGTCTATCAAATAACTAAACTCACCTCCATCACTTTCAAAGCCGAAAGTTTCTTCAGTGTTTAGGGGAGAGGGTGGGGGCCAGATTCACCTTTAGAACCCTGGCCTGCCTTTCACGGCTGGGCACTGGCATGACACCCGAAACCACGGCCACAAAGGCCACCGACAAAGGGAGACACGTTTTTAATGCTCGAGCCATCTGCCCATTCTCCTAAGGCTCTTTTCAAAAACTGCGAGAAGTTAAAGCAGGAGCTGGAAAGGAAGGCTGTGGGGGAGGGCAGGAAAACCACTCAGGGGAAAAGCAATCGCAATATGAAAAGCCCCAAAGACAGGGCAGAGCGAGAGCAGCGGGATGAATGAGGCCAGGCCCCTCCTCCCACACCCTCAATAGACCCTCTGCACCCCTCCACGGGGCTTTTGTCGGTTGCCTAGCATTGGAAATGTTTTCGTAAGAATATGTTATCAGTGGGGGATTTAATATACACAAGCCACAAAAACAACACCCTCCAGCGGGGTCTTCTGATTACCCACGTGGAAAGCACAGACCACCTGCCTTTGCAAAGATTAGCCTGGGTTTTTTCACCCGGGCAGCAAAATGTGCTAAATACAGTAGTTTAGCAATAATAAAGCATTTCCATGCCAACTCTAAATCCCGCCCCCTCCCATAAGACCACCAACTAAGAAGACCTATTCAAATGCACCACAACAAAATATTTTCATGCCCCCCCCTCCAGGAATTTATTTAAATGTCAACTGCTTTCTCTTTGGAGCCCAAACATACTCCTCTGAAGGAAAATCCCATGCAAAGCCCAGCAACCATAAGGGCTTCCATAAGCACTCGCTACCATGGCCCGGGTGCCACCGGCCGTCTGCCTCTTCCACAAGCCTCCATCTCCGGCAGGCACCACTGTTATCCCCTCAGCCTGTCCCATCTGAATTCTGAATGGGATCTGTAGTCTCTGAACTGGGGCCACTCTCTCCTTTCTGGTCGTAACTGTGCAGAATTAGTAGTCAGAGACACATGTTACACCGGCCAGGGGTTTCGTGGCTGCTCGGATGGGGTCCTGGGTGGGTTTCTCAAATTCTGCCATTGAAAAACTCCTTTCAAGGAGCTTCGTGACTAAAGGTAAGCTTTGAGCTAAGCTAGAGGCTCTCCATTCTTCAGTTACCTGAATTTATAACATGCCTTCAAAGAAATCTGGAGGAACGTAGTATTTATGTCAATCTGGTACTTTTCCCCCCAAAACTAAAGCCAAAAAACACTCAGCTTGGTCACGTGGAAAGACTAGCTCTTCAGCTGGGCTCCCTTTCAGGACAGAGATGAAGCCTCCGCCTGAACAGAGGGGGCCTCCATCCGCCTCTGCCTGTCTGGCAAAGGGACGAGCCACCCAGGAGCTAAAGGCACAGAACTCAATTGCAGGTTGATGATGAGCAAAGCATCTGACAAGCCCAGCTCCCGGAGGACCAAGGACGCCTAGGAATGCAGCTGGGGACCCGGGACCGGAGAGTCCGCCCTGGCGACCCTGCCCCGGCTCAAGTGGGTCTCCCTGGAACTGACAAGTGAGTGACTGCCCGGCCACGTGGTGCCTGCACAGCCGCTGTCCCAGGGCCTTGAACTCTGCTCCCTGACTGTCAGCAGCCCAAGGCGGAGCCGCAACCCCGTGGCCGCCCGGCCGCCCGAGCCTGACCTCTTGCTGTGAGCCGGCTGTAGACCTGCGAGTTGACTTCCTTGTCCCGCACGTAGCATCGGATCTCCTCCACGGCCTCGCGGATGATGGTGACGGCCAGCACGAAGCCCTGCAGAGGGGGGTGGAAAGGGGTGAGCCCTGCAGAGCCCCACCGTCCTCTGCTTTTGCCAGAGGCCACAAGGGAGCTTGTAAGGCAGGCCCTGCAAATCATGGCAAACCCCAGGCTTCCCCAAGCCTCTGGGACACACACATACAGGACATCCCTGTGCACCATCACTGCAGGCCCCCTAAGAGTCAAAATCAAACACCCCGATGGTCTATGCGCTGGCGGTGGCGAGGGACGGTGGCCCCTAACACAGCATGGGGTGCTATCTGAAGGGCTTTACACCCTGAGTGCACGTCCATCTCCCCACACCTCTCAGAGGGCCACTGTTGTTACTGAGATGCCCCTGTGCAGATAAGGAAACTGAGGCACACAGGGGTTGAGTGAAAAAATTCCAAGAGACAAGTGGGAATTTGGAAGCAGGAAACTGGGCTCTTGAGTCTTCACTCTTAACTGCCACCCAATTCTGCAACTAGGGGAACCCAGGAGCGTGGAGCCAGGAAGAGAGAGCAACAAGAGACAGGCTTAAAAGAGAGAGACAGGGCCTCCTTTGCAGCGCAAGGGGGTAAGCACAGCACTGTGAGGCTGTCCGCAGCCTCCGCAACAAGAATTTGATCCCGGGCCAGCCCGGGAGCTACCCACACAGCATGGCAGACCTCTCCTGCCTCACCTGCCGCTCCCCTCAGCAGTGTACTTTGGTCAATCTGCCTGTTCTGTTCCCCACTCTGTCTCTGGTGAATCCTCTCACCCCCACCGCCGCACCTCTGGCCTGTACCCCGTTCCTGTATGCATAAATAAATAAAAATTTAAAAAGAGAGAGACAGAGATACAGCTATTTGCATAGTAACCTTCCTGTGAGCAACACACTGTGGGCGCCTCCCAGCTTCCTTAGCTACTGGTTAGCTACCTCTGGAAGAAAAGGGAGGCGTAGGATAGGGTGGGGAGCATCCGGGGTGGGGAGGAACAGGGCTGGGGTGGGGAGTGGAAGGGGACTTCCTTATCTGTAACATTCTCCATTTTTATAAAGATAACATGTGAAGGGCTCGCATTCAAACATGAACCTGCCCTGACCTTCCCAGGTCAGATATCCCCGCTAGAATCTGGGGGCACTGCCTGTCGCCCACACCCAGAAGCTATTTCTATCTAGAGTTTTCTTCTTGTATCAATAAAGGCAAGACTGCTCAGTCATTTTTCTTACAAAATACCCTTGTCATCCCTTCTTCTAAGGCCCCCTTGAAAAGTCATTTTTTAAAAAAATACAGAGAACTAAGGGCCTGGAGGTTGGCGGTAATGATTCTTTGAGGATTTCATGTTCATACTCTTCGCCCGCTGATATATATCAATCGTGATGTGAAAGACTTTAAATCTCTTCTGTAAATCCAGCCAGAGGAGGGGCTGCTTTGTGGAGTCCTCCCCAGGCCTGGACACTTAGAATCAAAGGTTTGCTCCTGTTTCCAATCAGAGATAAGGGCACGCCGAGGTTAAAGGAAAGCTGGCAGGTTCCAGAAGAGAAGCATGAAGACGCAGGTTGGTGGCAGCACCCCGGCCCCTTCTCAGGCTGCTGTTTGGTTGCTCTGGGCCAGAGAAGAGGGTTTTGTTGCTGTTTGCTTTTGTTTTTGTTTTCAAATGTCCCTGTTTCTGTTTCCCTCTGTGTGGGCCCAGCTAAATGCGTGGATGTTACTGGAAAGTGTGTGTGCAAAGACAGGAGAGGGAGGCCTCCCTGCTGCCAGGGAGCCTGCTGAAAAAGGATGTTATCAATGTAACAAATATGAAGACAGAAACACTCCCCCCAAGCAAACCTATCTGCCCCCACACATGCACATATATACACACACATGCACACACATCATGCATACCGCCTTTTCGTTCTCCAGTCTCTAGTGAATTCTCTCACCCCTGTCTCCAACCTACACCCCAACAGTACACCACCACAGATTATACCCCAAAAACAAAAATCTAGATTATTTGATCTTAGATTATTTGGTGTCTAGATTATCTGGTCTCCATATTACCAGGGTCCACAGGAACCCCTCCTGTACCCCGCTGTGGTCTTCTAGGCTAGCAATCAAAGGCGCATGAGGCAGACTAATGAGAGGAAAAGTCACAAAGCAGTTTAACAATGACGTGTGCACATCTCCTGTGTCCACAGGCGAGACCCACCAGGGCTGAGAGACTTCAGACGAGATCTGAGACAGGTCAGCTAGCACAGCGGGGCTGGAGCAAACATCCAGACACACATCTGCTCCATCTCCTTTCCTGTAACTCTCCAAATTGCAGAAGAGCAAACGGGGACTCACAATAGAAACACATGCACAATAAGCTCAAAAATCCCTGAAAGAGGGCCTCCCTGGTGGTGCAGGGGTTAGTGTCAGCACTATGAAGCTATGGGCAGGCACTGCAGCATGAGTTCAATCCCTGGCCAGGGAGCCGACCCACATGGCCCGGCAGACCTCTCCTGTCTCCCCGCTGCTCTCCTCAGCAGTGGATTTCAGTAGACCCACCTGTTCTGCTCCCTACTCTGTCTCTGGTGAATCCTCTCACCCCCTGCACCTCTGGCCTACACTGCAGCTCTTATATGCATAAATAAATAAATCTTTAAAAAAAAATCCTTGAAAGAATAAAAGGCAATGGCCAGCTCCAGGGATCACCACTGGCCGCAGCGAGGAGCCTCCCAGGCTTCCACACAGCTACACACGAGACATCACTGTTGGGAGGGGAGGGAGGGAGGTCATAAAAATAGAAGCATTTTGTCCATGTCATCCTGCAACTTTTTTTTTTTTTCATGTCTGGAAAACTAGGATCCACACACCCCTGCCCCAACCCCATCCACGCCGAAGGAGCGACCTCCGCTCCTGACTCCCGGCAGTGTCGCAGAGTCTGGCTGGACCCGCTTCTAGCTCAGCCCCACAGAGCCTCCAAAAGATGGAAAAGCGGCATCTCCTAGTGGACCCCAAGCAAGTGCCGCGTGCCCTGTGCTGTGTGTTCTCATTTATCAGGGAAGGAGGCCTTTTCCCTGCCCTGTGGTGCTGCCTCCGGCCCACGGAAGCTCCAGCACGGCCTGCCCTCCAGGCTGCTTCTCAGACAGGAGGAACCCAGCCCTCGCCTCTGACCACATCCTGGCTAATTTATGCCAGGTGTGGCTGATGTCTCCTCCCAGAGCCGCTTGGACAGACAGGAATGTCTGTCTTCAGAGAGGGAGAGGCTGGACGACGGTGGACTCAGAGCAGAAAAGAACTATTCTCACGTCCCGAATGGAAGAAATGAATCCCGTTCTCAGAGTGAGGTGCAGGCATGGCTTGTCTGACAGGGGCTGCGACACCCATCCATGGCTCACCCAGCTGTGCCTTAAAGCCTTATCATCTCCCACCTGGCACCGATCAGGAGAAACAAGCAACAGTTATATTCCAGAATGTCTCTGGAGAAGAGACATCAGTTTTGCCCTCTCCACGCCCCAGTCACACTGGGCTTCTCTCTGCTCTTCTAATGTTCTACGCAGCTGCCGACCACAGGACCTTTGCATCACTAGTGCCTGCACCTGGCGGCTCCTGCCCTGCTACACTCCTGCCCGTCACCTCCTCAAAAGCCACCCTGGCTCATCTACATCTCCAACCCCTCCTCCATCCACTGAACAAACGCTACATGTGTCTGGACACCCCCTCTGTCCCGAGAACCTTCAGACCACTTTTCACGATTTGAAAAGGTTTTACTAAGGCGCTGACTGTCTCTCTGAACATCAGCTCCCCAGGCGCAGACATTTCTTTTTTCAGTCCAGAGGGCTTTTACTTTTCCCCACCTCTCGCACCACGAATTCACAGGGTTCCAGCAGCTCAGACTCCTCTCCTGGGGTTCTCACCGTGAGCTTCTCTGGGTGGAGCGGGCTCAGCTCCCACTGAACCCAAGAACCTTTCTCTTCGGCTTCCTTTTTTTCCTGCTCCTTTTCTCTCACACGGGTCAGGAAGTTATCTCTGCTCTCAAAGTGCTCAATATGCTCAACAGGAACAGGAAGTCTCTTGGCCAGACTCTGCCAACGTCAGATGCTCCCGTGTTGCCATGGTGACACGTGAGCGCATCCCCCTCTGAGCTGCCCGGCCCTGGTTGTCCACAGTACACCTCTCTCGTAGGTTCACGTGGATGTGGGCAGAGGACCATCTCCCTGTTTTCTGAAAGGCCTGGAGAACAGAGACGGGGCCTCTCCCGCCCCTCCATCCTGCGGCCCTAGGAGGCGGTGGTCCCGGCCAGAAGAAGGCAGCATCTCCAGGCCGCGCCTGGCATGCAGCAGGTACTTGGCCACCACGTGGGAAAGGGAAGGGAGAAGGACAAGGAGGAGAGGGGCAGAGCACAGGGGCTTCTGGCCAGCGGTCGCCCCTGGACATACCGCAGCACATGATCTGTGACCGACTGTGCAACACTCCACAGAGAAAAGCAAAAACGCCACCTCAGAGAACAATTCAAACGACACAGGCACGAGCACAAAGGCTCTGTCTCCTCACTGCCCCGAGCCCAGACCCGGGCGATGCATAATAGCATCCACGGACCAGGGAGGGCCGAGCAGCTGACCCGCAGGACGAGGGCATGGCCGGTGACCCCAGGTTGATCCCAGGGGTAGAGGAGCTGCAGCTTCAACATTCACAACTCAGGAGTTTTCGAAGTGCTGGCTTGAGGGCGTGCTCTCCCTTCACAGGCCATGACGCCCCAGCCCAGATGCTTGGGTGAGAGGGACAGAGCATCTGCCCCGACCTTCTGATGCATGGACCCACCCACCCATTACTCACCAGGGGGACCCAGTAGGTGTACAGCGCCCCGAGTCTCATCTCCGGAACAAACTGGGAGCAGGCGAGAAGTAGGAAATAGAGGTTGAAAAAGTATTTGAACTGGTTAAACAGCACCTGGAACGGAGAGAGAAGAAGGCGTTGGAGCAGGTCCACGACGCGGGTGAAGGCTGCATGAGACGTTGCTGAAATCCTTCCTACACAGCTACACGACCCTACACAGGACAACACAGCTACACGACCCCCTCGCACAGAGCCACACGGCGTGATGTTTAGGAAAATACACACAGGTAGCAAGAACCTATTATAGGGCCTCCCTGGTGGCGCAAGGGGGTTAGCACTGCACTCCGCGGCCTCTGCAGCACGAGTTTGATCCCAGGCGGGCCAGGGAGAACCCCACATGACCTCCCCTGCCTCACCCGCTGCTCCCCTCAGCAGTGTATTTCAGTCAATCTGCCTGTTCTGCTCCCCACTCTGTCTCTGGTGAATCCTCTCACACACCCCCCCCCACATCTCTGGCCTGTACCCCAGCTCTTGTATGCATAAATAAATAAATCTTTTTAAAAAAAAAAAAAACTATTATAGAGGGAAAACAGTGAACACTGGTATGTGTGGAATTACAAAGTGCAAAGACGCCAAGTGCAAACTCAGGAGCACTCCGGGGCGGGGAGGACAGGCCAAGGACGCCGGCCATACTTGTTCCATGTCGCAAACCATCTGTTTTGTGAAAGGACAGGTAGGCCACTCAAAATGCTGCTTAAGGAGGGGTCTTACTGGGAAATGTTTTGCTGTAAGACTGAATAAAAAAGTCAAGATAAATTACTATCTCCACGCGAGGAGCTCAGCACCATAAACAGGTGCAGCAGGATCCTGCCCTGGGTGGCAGGTGGTTGCCGGCAGTGCAGCAGCCCCCCACCCCGTGCCTGGAGGGAGACCAAGATGCGGATGTCATTTGGCCACCCGGCAACGAGCAGAAACAGCGCGTCTCCCTGGCTGCAGCTATGGGGCTGGGTGTTCCTGAGGGTGTAGATGGCATTGCTGTGACGTGGAGGATAGTGCCTGGTCTGTGCCAGAGTTTCCGTGACTGGGAAATAAACTTAAGACACGGAGATTTGGGGGTGTAGGGTAAGGAAAAAGTATCAGGCTTTTCTGCCCTCCCGCCATTAGGACAGATGAGGGAACCCTGTGGTCCCAAATGCATGCCTGATGGTGGGCACTTGGAGTGGGTACACTTGGGCTGAGAGACAGAGTTTATAAGGGTGGCGTCATGGGGATGCCAGCAGAAGCCGAGAGAGGAGCAGAGAAGCCGGGAGAGAAGCAGAGCCATGAGAAGAGCGGAGAGAACGTGAGAGACGGCCGGAGAGCCCAGAGTGAAGACTTGCTGGGGGCTGGGAGGCCTGCCAGCCTGCTGTATACCCAGCAGGCCTGCTGTATACCCAGTAAATAAAAAAGTCAAGATAAATTACTTGCCTGCTGTATACCCAGTAAATTCCAATAAAAGCCTGCAAAAGCTACTGAGGGCTCCAGGACCCTGACCCCTCCTTTACCCGGTCTGCTGGATCAGAAAACCTGCGCTGTGTCGTTCCTGCCCCTACAAGGGGGTTTTTGGAGTAGGGGCGGGGCTGGGGCTGAAGCAGCTCACAGCGAACATAGTCAAAATCACCCAGAAGAAAACACTGAGGCTGACCCTCTGCAACAGTGTAATGCACTGGGGCCTCACATCACCCCTTAACAAGTCTAACAAGCACTTTTTTCCCTCCCAGCAGTGAAACCAGGAGCTGCTATGGCTTCTAAAGTGCGCCCGGAGGGTATTTATGTGGTTCCCAGGTGCGCAGAGCACTCATCCGAGGTTGTACAGGTGAATGCAGTAAAACTTTAACAGAAGAAGATACTCGGCAAAACAGAAACATTCAAGAGCAAAAATGTTACACAAGTCCTCCCTGGAAGATAGGGTTGAAAATTTTCTTTTTAAAATTTGTTTCTACCAACACCCCCCCTATGCTGAGTATGTATTTTGTGATGCTAAGGGGGACCTTTAAGCACTGCTGAGGGGGGGTGTTGTGGGGGTGTGCTTTGGGAGTCATGCTAGCCCCTCAAGATGTTTTTCATTTTTAAGCTCAAGACTTTGCACAAACATGAGGCTGTTCTCTCTGGTCAGGTGCCTCCCGCAGGCTTGTAGACAGAAGGCAGTCAAGCCAGGAGCTCAGGGCCAGGGAAGGTGATCGGCCAGGGCCGAGGGGGCAGGGGAACGACACAGGGACCTAGATCTTTGCCGCATGCAAAAAGGGTGTGGGCCCCACCCTTACGTACCCCAGGAAGAAAGGTGAAGAAGTTGTACTTCTGGTTGTTGATGACATTTCGAGGGTACCTCTGGTCCCTCTTCTCCGGGTGCCCCAACCAGACCGTCCGGGGCCTGGGCTCCCCTCCACCACAGCATCTCAGCCACTCGCAGCACCTGTGGAGAAGACACACCCACAACTGTCAAGTCCCCACCCACACCGTCAAGGCCCCGCCCACACCACTGGGGCCCCGCCCAGACACCACCCAGGACAGAATGTCTCTGCAGCACCTTCTCAGACTCAAGTCTGCAACAATAGTCGGGACTGCGAAGAGAAAACAGAGCTGTGGCTTTAGGAAGCTGTGTTTTGAATCAAAGATGCTTTGTCCCCAAGCCCAGACTATTTCAAGCAGTTTCATGCAAGTTTCATAAAAATGCAAAGCTAAAAAATATTTCAAAGCAAATATATTTCAACAAGCTCCATTATTACTTTTATATTTTATAAATGAGAGGGGGGAAGCCCAGGATAGTAAATTCAGCATCCAAGCTTGTGAGAAATAGCCGAGGGAGTCTGGCCTGGAACTTGTGCATCTTATTCTAAAACCTAATGTCTCAACCTGCTGTTGAGGTTGCTGGTAATATCAAGATTAGGGGAGGGACCTTTCTCCACCCCCTGCTCTCCTTTTTAGCAACACGTTGGAGGAGCAGGTCAGAAAGACACTGTCTCGGCACCCAGCACAACCTGGACACGGGCCTGCGTGCCAGCTAAGCAGACTGACCCCAGTGCCCATCCCCCAGCTGTCCCAGGAGGGCAGAGCTCATTAAGCCACTGGCTGCCAGGGCACCCAGCAGAAGCCAGGGAACACCTGCGAGTCTGGCCTGCCAGGCAAAACAAAGCCGCTCTGACAACCCCCTAAAAAGGCCACTGGTCCCCAGGAGAGCCCATAAATAGGGCGTTTCCAGCATGACAAGTCCTTGCAGCACTGTGATGGAGATACCCCGTGCTGAATTGCCCACCTCACTGCCCCACAGACAGGCTGGCAGTGATAGCAACCCCCCCCCTCCCGCCGCCCAGCCCCTCCAGACACGGCCAGCCGAAGCAAAACCAACCAGACAGACGACGGCCACTTACATAACTGCTGGTCCACAGAGATGGCTGTCCCTGCACCCCTCCTCCTGCAGGCCAGGCAGGCCCTGCCGGGGTGCTGGCTACAGAGCTGAGCTGAGCAAAGACAGTCCCTGAGCATCAGGGATCTAAGAGTAGCAAGCCAGCAAGCTGCCTGCTGAGACGCTCAAAATTTCCATGATGAAACACAATGCTCTTTCTTAAAAATAGCATCCTCATTCCCGTAAACTGGTGCTCGCTCGCTCCGGGAGGAGAGTGGCTCCCACAAGGGCAGGTTTCACTTCTAGTAACTCATTCCTGCTGGCCCGGTTCTCAGTTGTCCAAAGGCCAGGGACACACAGAGTCCCCGAGGAGCGCACGGCTGGCCTTGTTCTGGGTGTTCATCACCCACACTGGCCATTGGTGGACACTCACCAGCAAGTACTGAATATACAAGACAGGGAGGGAGGAGCCAGCCAGGGAGGAGCCAGGGAGGGGGGCAGGGACAGAGGGAGAGAGGGAGGAGCCACAGAGGGAAGTGGGAGGGAGGGAGAGGGAGGAGCAAACGGGGAGGGATCTCCCTCTGACAGAGCATCCTGCCCTGTTTGCAGAAACCCTCCGGATGGTCAAGACTGACCCCCCAGGCCGCAGTCATCCCATAACGCTGGCTCCCACAGCTGTGTTTGCAATGCCAGCTGCAAGACTGAACTTCAACAACCCTGAGCCGTCACAGGGTGATGTCACCCGTGCTCACCGCCTGCGTTAGCGAAGCTCTCCACACAGACCGCCAGGTGCGGCTGGTCATCGCCGAGCCGGCAGCCGGGTGCAAGCGCGCCAAGTGGCAGCTGTAGAAGCCTGGAAACAAACCCACGGGGGTGCTACAGCAACAGGGAACATCCATAAAATGGAACGAGCTCCCGGCAGTCCTGAAAGCACCAGAACGAGCAGCCTGTGCTAAATGGCCGGACTGGCAAGACACCAGGCACCCAAGCGCAAGGGCCGGCCCAGTCCAGGTGCTCCCCTCCCCTGACAGCGAGAGTGACAGGCCCGGACAGGCAGCCACGCGGAGGGGCGCTGCTGACAGGGATCCCTCTGGGCAGGAGGTGGGGGACACCCTTTCCTGTGGGTTCTTTTTGTGTGTGGGTGGGTGTGCGTGTGTGTGTGGGACCCTTGCCGGCGGCCGGGGAACGAACCAGCGCTGCAGAGGCTGCGGGCAGCCCCGCGGCCCAGCGCTCAACCAGGGAAGGCCCTCCTATGGGTTCTTTATTCACGTTATAAATATTTTTCCTATGGTCTAAGTGGCTTCTTTTTTCCTTCAGCTACATTCACAGCAAGAGGGAGGGGGCAGCTGGTGGTGGACGGTGACTGGGTATTTGGTGGTGGGTGTGGTGTGAAACAGTTGCTGAGGTGAGAAACTGCTCCCCAAACCTATACAGTGCTGTAAACTGCTGTCACCTCAAAAAGGGGGTGGGGTATAAAGAGAATGAAACAGAGAAATCATTAAGCAGGTAAATAAGCCGGTGATAGTAAACGCCTATGAAGGGCCCATCTGGGATTCCAGATCCTTCGGTGACCGAGCATGCCAACGAGGTCCCTGCTTCGCCTCCGTCCTCACAAGCTCGAGGCGGAACAGGGCCAGCGTTCGCGTGGGGTGAAACAAGGACATGGTCACCAGCGCTGAGCGCCACCAGCCCGAGGCCCATCTCAGCTATTCCACTTGCCAGTCACCTCATTTATCCGTGTCCCGCCCGCACGGGATAGAACTTGCCACAACTAGTGTGACTTGCAGGTCAACACTGTTTACTGAACACGTAATACAACTACCCAACAAGTCATCGGTGCTGCTCCTGGGCACGCGTCCTGCACACAGAGGGCTGGGCCCCTGCCTGGCACCGGACACGGTCACAGCCACACGGATCGGGTCCCCCCCTGGAACTGCTACTCCAGTCTGGAGGGAGACTGGCATATAAAGAACTACCCCAAATAAAATAGGGCTGGGCAAGGGGGAGGGAGGGAGATGCTCCGTAGGTGGGGGCATGGGTCGGAAGCAGGTGATTGCTGAGGTAGAAGGAAGAGCCACCCTAACATGCAAGGAGCTGCGATTCGGGCAGACTGGCCCCACAGGGCAAAGGCCCAGAGCAGGAAGCAGCCTGGGCAGGGCTGCAGAGAGCAGGCGGGCGGTGGGGCGGGACGCCCTTCAGGGAAAGCGGGAAGACGACAAGGTCACAGGAGGAGGGACAGAGCACAGGGCAGGTCACCAGGGCAAGAGCTCTGTGGTACAGTCCAAGGGCCCCGGGACCAGCAGGGGGTGGCAGGATTTGATGCCTATTTTTTCAGGGCCTCTGGGCAGAGAAGTCACTTCCGTGGACAAAAGCAGAAGCAGGTAATGGGCGTGAGGCTAGTGGGGGAAGTGAATGCAGGTGATGCAGGTGATGGCTGCATGTCTCCATGAATATGCTCTGAACGCTGCTGAAACACTTGCTTTAAACAGAATCACTGCTGGCGTGGATGAGATCTTAATAGAGCTGTGTATTAACCAGCCCCCAAGCAGAAACTGAGGATCCTTTAGGAGGCTGTTGCCATCACCAGGCAGAGACAGTGGTGGCAGGGAGGGCGAGGGGGCAGCACAGATCCTCAAGACGGTATGGATGTCGAGGTGCACTCTCTCTCTTAAACATGAGAAAGAAAAAAGAAATGCACTGTTTCATCGCAATCCCAGCAAGCCCACATGGTGCGCGCTAACAACCTCCACATTTTTCCAGATGGCTAAACGGAGCTCCAGAAAGGCCTCGGTGACTGCCCGAGACCTGCCTCTACAGCCGCTGCATCAGTGGTGACGTGACTTTAAAATCCAGACATCCGGGTCCAGCTCCTAAGCTAAGAGCCCTGAGCTGCTTGCACCCCCCTATCAGCCTTGCAGCACAGTTCTGCCCCAGCTGTTCTTTCCCCCATAAGATTGGAACGTGGTTTAAGGACCATCAAGAGCAACGGGCCTGCCTGGGGGCACTTCTGTGAGCCCCTCGCCCATTCTTCTTTATGCCAAGCAACTGGCTTGCTCCTGGTCTCAGTCACCCTTCAGTGGCTGGGGGTGACAGACAGCTCCTTTATGCCTCACTCACGGTGAGCACAGCACACATATTCTCAGGAGGGGCCCTGCAGGAGGAAAAGCACTCTTCGGGGGTCCAGACTGGAGAGCAGCACGGCTGTGAGGCTAACCAGAGGTGCCCTGCCCAGCCACACCCCAGCACGCACCATCCCACATGTCAGTGGCCACCTTCCCTGGGTCTGCTCTGCCTGGACACCTAGCACCCCACACACCTCCTTACCAGCACCCCAGTACCTCACCCCAGTACAGGTAGAGGTTTGTCTCCTGATGTCCTCCTGTTACCGTAGCCCTCTGTGTTTTTCCTGTTGGTTCTAGTGACCGCACGTCCACTGCACACCCACCTGTACCCCAGGGGCCTGAGCGCTGCCTTCCCAATGCCTGAAGCCCAGCTCCAGCCCTGCTGTCCTGCGACCTGAACTAAACCATCTCTAAGCAGGTGTGCACCAGCCTGGAGCAGGGGACCTCTCCCCAGTGTCTCCTTCCTTGAGGAAGCAGCGTAAGCCACGTACTTTCTTCTGTAGTTACTCTTGTCATAACTCTCCCTCCATCCTTTCACTTGGGCTAGCTGAGGTCACCCCAACTCGGGGCACAGGTGGGGTTGACCAGGTTGGCCAAGCAGAACTCTTAACACAGAGAGGGGCATGAGAAACCTGGGACTAGGAGACCCCCAGCTGGGAATGTGTCTACAAATACTAGAAAGGAAGAGCTTCCCGCCCTGGGGTGACCAGCCTGGGGCTGCAGGTGGCTCCCCCCCTATTTCCCGTTAGGGAAGTGGTGTCACGGAGGACAAGAGATTCCTGACAACCTCACGATTCTGTCTGCTTCATGGCTCTTCAGTCCCAGGAATCGATAAATTGGTCTCGTTTCACTTTACTTGGCTCCAGGCCGTCCTCGCTGGTGTCTGTTAACCCTGGGTGTCCCGCGTGATTCCCGTCGGCCGCGGGGCTGATGGCTTCCTAGTCATTTCGTGTGTCTGATTCTAAGCCGTCAGAGCGCCGTCACCGCTCGACATTCACACTTCATCGCCACGGCCGCTCCACGCTCCGTGGTGCTGTGCCACCCAACATGGACAGGTTCGTCTAAACGGAAATAAAGCAGGAGTCCAGGTGCTCATTCTCACCAGCCACACTCTGAGCCACGTGTGGCCGGGGGCCACAGACTGGACTGTGCAGGAGCAGGAAGTTCCATGGACAGCGCTGCTGTAGGGCTTCCCTTTCGAGACGTCTCCTTCCCCCTTGCTCTTGAACTGATGTCAATGCCACGAACCTACTCACAGGAAGGGAAATTCACACAAGCCGTCTACCCAACTTCAGTCATTTTCAACCCATCTGGGGGATTTCTCCATTAGTAGACTGTGGCTTTGGCGACATTTGCATACCTCAAGTCAGTGGTTCTCCACTGCAGTCAATTTTGTCTCACACACACACACACACACACACACACACACACACACCCATTAACAAGTCTGACTGCCACATGGGGAGAGTTGCTACCTGCATCTAGTACGTAGAGGTCAGAAATGCTATTAGGGCCTCCCTGATGGCGCAAGGGGTTGAGCGTGCACCATGAAGCAATCTGCAGCTACTATAGCAAGAGTTCGATCCCCAGCCAGGGAGCTGTTCCACGTGGCGCAGCAGACCTCTCCTGTCTCATCTGCTGCTCCCCTCAGCAGTGTATTTCAGTCGATCTGCCTGTTCCTCTCCCCACTCTGTCTCTGGTGAATCCTCTCACCACCTCCCCCACCCCCACACCTCTGGTCTACACCCCAGCTCTTGTATGCATAAATGAATAAATCTTTTTAAGAAAAAGAAATGCTGCTATTAACACCCTACTATGCACAGGACAGACTGACAGACCCACAGGACAGGAGGACAGTGCCTGGGTTGAGAACACAGGTCCTAGGTTTTATTTATAGAAATTGATTGTAAAGTTACTCATAGCACCATCCCCAATGGAAAACCCCTGCCGTAAGTAGAAGGTAAACATCACAATCAACACAATGAAAAGTGAGCGACGCCACCAATTTCCCGACAGCCAGAGCCTGTGCCCACCGGCCACCGTGCGGCTGCTTCCCCTTCTTCACTGCGGAACATGTGCGAGGCTTTGCTGGTACCAGGTGGCCCCGGCGGGGCTGGAGCTATAGGAGGACAGCTGAAAAAGGAAGTGTCTCCTACGTGTCTCCATGATTTAGTTCCTGTCTGTGAGACTGACCGCTGCGGCCCCCACATGCCCATATGGTGGGAACTGACCGCTACGGCCCCCGTCTGCCCGCACATGGGAACAACTGTCCCACACCAGAAACCCCAGGCTTAGTGGCAAGTGCACAAGTGACCAAGTTCCCCACCCTGTGTCCAAACAGAAAAGGTGGCGGCCAGGCTACCCCTGGACGTAACGCCTGTAACTTCCCCCGCAGCTGCCACCACACCCCATTTACCTCCTGGGTGGACTTAGGTCCCTGCAGGTCCGAGTGGGGCTGTCACCCGAGCTGGGACAGAGCAGCTGTCACTCTGCCGGCACAGTGCACTGCTGTTGTGTGGTCACAGCAGACCCAGCTGTCTGTCACTTGGCATGACAAAGTAACTCCCACCCCCACTCCAGTCGGGCTGGAGATATGAGCTGCAAGAGAGAGCCCCTAAGAGCAGCCTGGAAAGCCAGGGCCACAAGAGGCAACTGGACCACGTGGA